GGTCGCTTCAAGCTTCATCACACGCTTCTGGATGCTCGACATCTAGCCTGCAATAGAGAAAAAGGAAAACAAGTCAATATAGCAAAGAAAAACAAGCGGGGACGCGAGCAAAAAAACACCCACTACTTAAGAACCTCAAGGCTTCCTCGTCAGACCCGTACTCGAGGAGGGCCTTGTTGTTAATTAACTGAGACTCTCAGCAAACCTCCCCGCGCTCGTTAAGAATAAAACTCTCGTCCATGTTGACACATTTATCAGGAGTGAAACTAGAGACGAACTCGACTATATTCCCATAAGATAGCTAATCCTCAGCTTTCAGAGTGTCGGGCTTGATAATGTAGTTGTCTGTACCTTTGTCAAAGTGGCCACCCTCTCACTCAAGAGGGAACTTTGCCTCTAAAGACTCCAGTCACTGCCCATCCTCCTCCTTGACCACAAGGTCGTACAGGGAGTCAACGTCCGCATGCGACACAGGCTTTACGACGAATTTGTTGTCCTAGAAGGTACAAACATAATCCTGGTACGCCCGAAACAACTTTCTCGGCTGCTTTAGCGATACCCAACTATGTCGATCTTGGAAGGATTGCCGTTGTAGGTGAAAGGTGCAAAAGAACAAGGGAATCGTGGCTTCTATGCAGAGGTGTTAACACACGAGCTCGAACGCTCGCACAAATGCAATCGCATTGGGATGAAGCTGCGAAGGCGCCAAATGTAGCCACTAGAGCACCCCCTTTTGGAAGTCACTAAAGGGCAGACAAAGCCTTGCGTCCCAAAACACAAACTCGTACATCGAGAACTGCATCCCTTTGAATGCTGAGCATATGCGATGCATCTCTTTGGGCTTGTAAACCAACCAATTCGAGGAGGCGTCCTCAGCGAGGTTCTTGACGGTTGCGAAAGCGTCTAAGCCGTCATTGGTGAAGCGCGACGCGGTGCTGAGGGTTTCCTGCCCGACCCAATCTAAAGGCGTGCGGACTCACCCGACCCGGACTTGCTCAACAGGGGCGTCGGACTCGACTTCCTCATCGATTATAATGACACCCTTGGTCCTTGCGGCCATTTTACCTAAAAAGTAGAGGAAAACGGTGAGTTCGACATCTAAGATCAAATCCACCCTTCCACCGTAAATCAAGTGAAAGGTAAAAGAGAGGGGCGAGGAGTCGCTCAACAAACTTCCCCAACCATAACACATGCCGAGGAAAACTCCTTCACGAGGAGACTTTCCTTGACGCAAAACAGTGAGCCTCCCTCCTTGGTAGAAAGGCTCATCCACGAGGAGACTCTCCTCGACATAAAACAGCGAACCTCCCTCCTCGGTAGAAAGACTCTTACACGAGGAGACTCTCCTTGACGCAAAATAACAAGCCTCTCTCGTCGACAGAAAGATTCCTCAGCACGTAAAACCTCTCCAATTGAACACGGGAAACCTCCTCGACAAGAGACTTCATCGTGATGTTCGAGAGGTTTTACGCGCTGAGGCCCCACTGCAATCAAAACCCAAACTAGATACGTGAACCCTATGTTTGGACGTTATCACCTCGATAATGCAAAAAATCAACAAAAATGATTATGTGTAATTGTTGAAGAATGCAAGTGTGAGAATGAAGATGATGAGCAAAAATCAGTGTACATCTTTCACTTTTCTTGTTCTATCTGTGTAAAATAATGAGACAAATGAATATATATGATGCCAAGACCTAATAACAGAAACAACAACTTTTTGAAACACAAAGGATAAAAAAAAATTAGTTTTAGTGAGCGAGAGGTTGACCCAGGGATGCGTCGACCTGAACCAGGTCATACGTCGATGCAAGGCCACCTCAAAACAAAGAATTCTTTTTCTTACAGTATGCGTCGACCGCCCCATACCTGTGGGTCGACGCATGGACACCCGAGAGAAATAATTTGTTTCATCAACAACATGAGTTGACCTCCACATGTCTGTGAGTCGACGCAAGAACACCAAAATGCTATAAACACCTTTTTGTGAGTATTTTGGTCGACCTAAACCCCTTTTTGAGTTAACCTAAGGAATCCAACATGATCAAATGCACAAATTTCATATATGAGATGCTCCTATATGCATAGATACACGAAAGTGGGATATTTTATGCATATTAAAGAATGAATGTAGTCTAAGACGCGATGATACCGTCCAAAGTACAAGTATGAGATAATACTAATTTAACATCATTAAAATAATGACTAAGGAACCTTGCCCTCACACACCTTACTCGTGAAATAGGACGACTGTTTAGTTTTTTTCTTCTCCTAGACGAGCATGGAACACATAGACTAATCGGTGAGTGACAGGTACAAATAGAGGGGTGCGCCTGCTTCTGGGTGCGTCAATATGGGAGACATCGGCAGAAAGACTTTTATCTTAGTGAAAGTATCCTCACACTTGCTTTTCCATTCAAACTTCTCCTTCATTTTTAAAGTGGCGAAGAAGTGTAACACTTTGTCACCTGCACGAGAAAGAAAATGAGTTAGGGCGGCTAGGTATCTTGTTAGTTGTTAAACCTCCTTGATGCTAGAAGAGCTCCTCATGTCCATGATGGTGTGACATTTTTCAAGATTCACCTTGATCCCTCTTCTGGTTAGCATAAATCCTAGGTATTTATGCGCCTTAACGCCAAAAGAGCACCTGGTGAGATTCAGGTACATGTTATACCTCTTGATTAGATCTAAGATGTCCTTTAAGTGTAAACAATTACTTTAATCACTATAAAGTTTACACAATTATATCATCAATGTATACCTCTTTATTTTGTCCTATTTGCTTGGAGAATACTATGTCCATTAGTCTCTGATAAGTGGCACCCACGTTTTTCAGTCCGAAAGGCATGACATCGTGGTAATAGTTATCATGGTTAGACACAAACAATGTCTTGGGAGTGTCCAAAAGATCCATCTTTATCTGATTATAGCTAAAATAAGCGTTCATGAAGCACAAAGTCTTATAGTCTGAGGACCCATCAATCAGGCTGTAAATATTGAGTAACAAGTATGGATATTTAGGGCATGTGGCATTCAGGTTAGTGAAATCGACACACATTCACCATTTGTTTGATGACTTCTAAATTAGGACCACGTTAGCCAACCAAATTAGATATTTGATCTCAATTATAAAGATGCACTCTTCAACTTCTCAAGTGAAAATACATGGTTCCATAAATGATTCCTTAATATCACTTCAACGGTAAAAAAAAAATAAAAAAAATAGAAATAATGTTTTAGTGAGTATCACATATATTAGAGCATAAATATCGGCAGTTTTTTTTTTTGCCGTGTCTTCACTGCTACCGCAGTATTATGTCAGAATTTTTTGGATAATTAGCTTATACCATCGTTTATGAATTGGGAAACGTTCTTACAATAACAAACAAAAATATATATAACATTAAAAATAGAGTATATTGTGGTATTTTGTGAAATTCATTTTAAAATTTTAGATGAGTTGTATGGATATTTAAAAAATATAAATGAATTATTTAAATAATTAAAAAATATAAAATAATATAAAAAAATTTAATATGATCCACTTAAAGAAACAAAGCGGATCATTTGGATTTGGATGTGAATGCTCTTATGATATTGTTTAGTGTCTTATCTCCTAGTATCAAATAACATCGACTATTTAATTACTATCTTTTTTAGCATATATATAGCTAAATTAATGGCAAAATGTTGCTTTACTTCTTAATAAAAAGAATATCATTATTAGAAATTGAGATGAGCTTTCACTTTAAAAATTATGCAAAGTCATTCATGCAGCTAGAAATGAAAGTCAAAATGAAATTTACATATCTGCTGGTTGGATTGACTTCAAAAAAGATTGCAAACTGAAAGTTGATGACAATATTGTTTTTCACGTTCCAAAATCCACCGAAGTTTTTAAATGTAAAAATCTACTTGAGATGAGCTTTTTCATTTCTACTATTTCTTATTTTGTTGAACTAATGCTATTTTCTTTACCACTTTAAAGTAAATACCAACATACATTGGGGAGTTTAATTTAATTCGGAGATTGATTCTGACATCAAGTAGTTAGTTTGACTCTTCTTCCAAACGTAATTGTGAAAAATAAATCATAATCATCTACAAAATTTAGTATCAATCACCATTAAATCAATTAACATTTATTTATGTTTGATTATGACATGTATTAATGTTGGATTAATATTACTTTAATTTGAATTTCGTTAATGGTTTAATTTAGAAAAATTACACTTATTTTCCTTAAGTTCAATTAAAATTACAGTATCATTTTAATAAATTTAATAAGGGAGATGAGTTTAGTTTTTCCTTAATTTATTACTATTAAAACCACAATTTAAAACAACCAAAATTTATGTTGGTATTTACTATATGTTTATATGATAATTTGTGTAATTATCATAGAACCAGTTCAATCCTTAATGACAAAAGTTATGGAGTCTTTTTTTTCACTCTTCAAATTGGTTGGGATCATGACTATTACTCTGAGTGATATGTCTAAAGACACACTCATCAAGTTTTCATCAAATGCAAAGCAAAGATTGAAATATTATTTTAGAGAAGAGGCAAAATGGTTCTAGATTGCATACTTTGTGGCTGTTTTGGCAAGACTATGTTTAGGCAGTGTTCTAATTTAATGACCTCTGGCTTTCAATCTAGCAGGAAATGTTACTGCTGAAAAAAAATGCAAAAAGTGAACTCATAGGAATATAATACATCATTTTATAAGATCAGACATATTTAAACCCTAAATAAAAACAATTAAATCTCTGTACCAAAAATAAATATGATTTAAATCAGAAAACACCAAATGCTAGAACAATAGACAGATATTAAGTTATTAACTGTACAACTATAAAATTAATTAGGATCAATACCCCAAGTTTTCGTTAACAAATGTCAATAACAACATCAAAATTGTGAGAAATGTATCCTATAAACTCTAGATGATGATACAGGGTCAACCTCAATCTAAGGATGTCAACTCATGCAGACATCAACTACTTTATCAGCTTTCTATGGAAAATATTTTCCACTTCAGTACGAACGTTTTCGACATCCATTACATAGTCTCTCTGATCCTCATCCCTCATCAAATTATTCAACAATTGTTTCATTCTGTTCAGTGCATCACCTAGCTCACAGAAGTCCCTGAAAACTCGAGCTTCTGTGGTCTTTAGTTGCAAGAGACTCTTAATCGCGACAAGTGCCTGTTTAATATATGCAAAGTGTCAAACTAAATAATAAACATCAACAATTCATACACACATTGAAATTTTGAGAGCATAGATTGAAATACAACAATATGACATTTGCATCGCACAGAAAGTCATAAGTAAGACAGTAAAACAAGTCTTCTAAAATGCTTTAAAAATGTCAGCAATCACCTTTTCAAGGAGATCGAGTTCGGTTGAAGCAGTTAAATCAACCACAGACTTCAACAGATCCCGGCCATTGAAAAATGATGGTTCATCCTTGTCAACGTTTTCTAATTGATACTCTGCTAAATCAGTCAATAGAAGCACAGCCTTCCTCCTTAGTTTGATATCAATACTTGCATTCCTCAAAATATCCTAAAATTTTTCCAATGTCAATTACCATTTACTATACGAAAAAATAGTTTACTAAAACACGGCAGCAATGTTTATAATATTAAAAACTTAGATCGGTCACCTGAAGCATCAAACCACCATCTTCAGCATAGAACAATTCCTGACTAGCTAAATTATTCCGAATCAAAGCTGAAACAGCATATAAGGCTTTAATGCCTTCTTCGATGGAATCAGATTTTACCATAACTATTAACTTCGAGAGTACACCATGTTCCAAGACCTAGAATATTCAAAATTTGGCAGCATTACACCAAGTTCCAAGACCTAGCTTTGTTTTGATTCAGTTAACAACATACTAAACTTCTATAAATCATCAATGCAACAACATACCTGCTGCTGAACAGTTGGATTGTTTTGACTAGCTTTTCCAAGAACCCATGCAGCAAGAGCCCTAATACCCGGATCAGCGTGATTAAGTTCCCGCGCGAGAGCATAAATCCCACCAAGTTTGTTCAAATCTAACCCACATTAAAATCTCTTTTTAGAAAAATTCTATAAAATTGAAACAAAATCACAGGAAGATCATGGACTATAACCGGCACCAAATTCAGAAAAGAGTCATATTTAAAACATGTAACAAACAAATAAACATTGATAGAAAGATATCTACCATTTGCATTATCCAACGGTTCAACAAGCTCGAGAAGCTCGAGCAAGGCTCGGTATCGATCTTCCAAAGATATAGACACATTATTCAAATCACTTATAGCAATTTTCATCAAATCAGCATCAGATAACATTTTTGTTTTCTCCATTAATTCCTGTTTAACCACCACAAACAATGCACGCCATAAATAAATAACAAACATAAAATCACACACCATAATCACAAAGAAAACTTGAAATTACCTTGATTTCCATTTGACGCTTTTGAAGTTCGCTAGGTGATAATCCTTCGTGAACCTGTGCTGATTCCTTTAACTTTTCTGGATCAGAATGACCTAAAAAAACACACAAAAATAAATTAAAAATGAAATAATTTTTATGGCAATGAATATTCAAATTATGCATACTTATTGCCCAGTGCAACATGCTGTCCATTGAAGAGAAACCGCCGTCGGAGTCGGGAACAGAGACGTCCGGTGAGAGTAGATCGGATTCCTCCACGGCAGTTGACCATGACGGCTGACGGGAGGTGAGGTTGTGGTCAGTTTCGGCGATGGCGACCGCCGTGAAGAGTATGAGAGCGAGTAAGAGTGTTCGGTCCATTTATTTTAACTATTTATTTATTTATTATTTGTGAAAATCGAAGGTAGAAGCAAACTTCTATATACACCTGCGCTTCTTCTTCTTCGTCTTCACGCTTGCGTTGCGTTAATTTGTTTTTCAAAGACACGTCATGTTGATCAATTATTGCCGTTGATTTCAGATCCGACGGTATTAGAGTTATGGGATGACTCTCATCATCGTCAAATTAACTAACATGGGCTTTTCTAATAAAATTAACTAAACATACACATTTTTATTATGCAGCTGTTTAAAAAAGTTTAGTTATTAAAGATTCTCTCACAAAAAGATATAATAATAATTAATTTAAATGAAAAATAAATTGAGAGACAAAATGTTATCCCAATTTTTTATATCTTAAAACACATTATTAAAAATTGAGGGTTAAAGTAAAAAGGCTTTAAAAAAAATATAAGGTCCCAAAGATATTTGATTGATGTCTAATACCATCAAGATTATATATGTCTAACACATATTATCTCGGCCTAAAAAGTATACTCAGGTTAGAAGGAAAGTTAGTGTTCGTTCTAAAAGGCATGTCGACCCAATAAGCGTGTCTAATCTTGAAGGTAGGTCTGCGCCTAATTTAGAAGGCGGGTTGGCTTAAAAAGTGTATTCAGCTTAAAAGACAGGTTGACCCAAAAAATGCAGTCGACCTAGGAGGCAAGTCAACGTCTAGTCTACAAAGAAGGTCGACTCATAAAGTAAGCCTAGTTTATAAGGCACGTCGGTCTAAAAAGTGTGCTAAATCTAAGTCCAAAAGACATGTTTACACCTAGTATAGAAGACAAGTTGGCCTATAAAGTGTGACTAGTTCAAAAGGCAGGTCGACCCATAAAGTGTGTCCAACCTAGAAGGTAGGCGTGCCCAAAAAGTGTGCTCAACTCAGAAGGTAGGTCGACTTAGAAAGTGTGTTCAGTCTAGAAGGCAGGTTGACCCAGAAAGTGTGTTCAACCTATAAGGTATGTCAACTTAAGCAAGACCTACTAAGACCATTGTAGACAATTAGATGAGAAATGTCTGTTGGATCCTTTGACAGTTGTAGCAAACAAAATGTTCTATGTTCTTGAAAATCTTAGGACCCACCTCACTATAAAAAGCCAGACAAAGGCTTTAGATTCAAGTAGATCTTCATAACCCTAAAATGTCTTTCACTTATGATAGATATTAACTTGAGTGTTGATCGATGGTTTTTACACGTTATTTTACAGTTTATTTCAGTTAATCATTTGTTTTGTCTTGTTGCATTTTAGTTATTTTTATCACATTTTACGCGTCGATTTGGTATTTTTACTGTTTCTAGGTTCAAGTATACAATAAAGGAGAAGCAGAGCGAAAACTGGGAAAAAATGGCAAGATTTCGGAAGAGTTTTGTTGTGAAATCTTTAGCAGTCTGCACGAAAACGATCATAACTGGAGTTCCGGGAATCCGTTTGAGGCGTTCTAAAAACCGCCGAAAAGCTAAGAGAGAGAGCTACGACTTTCGTGTTGGAGTCGAAGTCAGATTCGAAACAGGGGTGCAACACGGGTGCCCGTGTTGTGTGACACGACCCGTGTTGCAAGATTTGCTCAGAAAAGGCGATTTTTGGAGAAAAAACATGGCACAACAAGGGTGCCCGTGTTGGGTGACACGGACCGTGTTGTGACACCTGGGAATTGCAAATTTCACGCGAAAAATCTTTCAGAAAGCCAACACGGGCACCGTGTTGCCTGACACGGCCCGTGTTGCAGGAAGCGCTTTTTTCCCTATTTTCTGGTATTTTTGACTCTTGTGATCCCCGAGGGTATTGTGGGTATTTCCCTAGTGATTAGTTTGAATTGAGACTATTTGATACGTGTTTGGAGAAAGAATAAGGATTGGACTTTTGAACGGAAAAGAGATTTTCACGATAAAGATTGAAGCGATCAAGGATTTGGGAACGAAAGATCCTCATGAGCGGAAGCGATTGAAGATCAAAGCAACCAATTCTCTTGTAATGTTGAATTTTATTGTTGAGTTTATTTTTATTATTATGAGTAGCTAAACCCCCCAATGCTAGGGGGTGTCCCTGAATTGACTCTGTAATAACCTTGTTTCCTTTGAATAATGGATTTCACTACTTTCTAATCATCGTTGTTATTGTATAATTTTCTTATGGCTTTTCTTTTTGACAAATAAGGATTTGTTTTACGGTTAACCTTAGGTTTTGAAAAACGATCGTTAACGCGTTTATACGATAATACTATAGTAGATATTGCCTAGGAATGGGGATACCCTATAGTAACCGTAATGTTTTAGATAAAATATATTGCTTGAGATTGTTCCTATACCGCCAAGGAATTGGGGCATAGGAAGAATACCAAAGAGTTTTCTACTAAGGAATTAGAGTCAACTAATCTTTAAAACCGGTAACGATTGAATTGAGTAGTGATTTCTGAAAAATAAGGATTAAGGTTATTACAAGGTTTTTTCATACACCCTACTCTAGCATGCTTCTCATAACTGTCTAAAACCTTTATTTTACTGCTTTTGCCTTTTGGCCTTCAAAATTGTAAGAAACAAACCAAAACCCCTATGACTTTTTGTTCAATTGTATTATTTTAGAACTTGTGTTCATACGCAGTCCGCGAGATCGATATTCGGGGAATTTCCCCTTATTACTACATCGGTACAATTAGTACACTTGCTAATTTACCGGTCAAGTGTTACAGTGTTTGTAAGTATTATTCTCAGTGTCAGATAAAAGCATCAACTGATTCATTTACAACTGAGCTTATGGGAACAATAAATGCAATAGGAAATTCCTCCTTGCCCAAAGGCTGGCACAATATCTACATGAAATAGATTTTAAGTTGGATTGAACATGGATGTAGAATGGTGTTGGGTTGAATATGAGTGTAGAAAGGTCTTTAAAGGGGGGGGGGGGTGAAAGTCATATCTAAATCTTGATTCTTCTTATGTTGAACGCAAATCACTAGGTTGAAAATTATTCAAGATCTTCACTCAACCTTGAATCAATTTATCCTCTCAAAACCAAAGCACTCCAAGATTTCGTGTGCGTCGATCTTCACTCGTTCCTACCAAAATTCCTTGTCCGAGTCTTTGAACTGTCAAAGGAACTAGAAACTCTAGAATTTTATCTGCAACGATTTTTACTTTATCCTACCAAAATTTTTCTTTGGAGAAGAAGCTCTTCTTTTTCTTCATTGGACATCATTTTCAATAAAAACCATGCACACATTGAATCTTCAATTTGAAAGCAAATTTTCACAAGACATTAAAACACTAATCAACCTCCCCATACTAGATCTTCATACTCCCCCTTATAGTTGAAATCAAAATAGACACAATGGATTTTTGACTAGAATTTGAAGATGATGATTTTTAGACAGAATCTCACGCACACTTGTTCGAAACTGGAAAATTCAACACAAGAAAAAGTTTTTTTTTTCAAGTTTGAGTTGAGAGAGAAAGTCGTGTTTCATAAAAATGTGAATGGTTATGTAAAAATCTCTTTGCAAGTTATGCACAAAATTTTGCAAGTTATGAGCTAAAGAGAGAAAATTTTGGTTTATACATGTACTAGAAAAATGCATTATAAATGAGTAAAAATGACCATTTGATTAAAGTCTAGAGAAAAAAAAGTGATTTGAGTTAAAAGAGAAAACTACTTGAATCAATAACATAAAATGTGAAATTTTCACCTTTTAATTCGAGTCATGATTTAAGTCGTGTGATTCAAGTCAAGAAAATCTCTGATTCGAGACATCTCCCATAATGAATTCTAAAATGAGAAGCTCGTCCATGATTCGAATCAAGATGTTATGTGATTTGAATCGAGTCTTTCCCTTATTCAAATCAGGTGATCTTATGATCTGAATCACATTATCAGTGACACTCTCTGATTTGCTCACTTAGATCATGATTTAATTCACCCAAATTTTTTATTCGAGTCATGTTTCCCGAATTGCAATTGTGGGAAAATAAAGTGTTTATTATTGAATCGATAATTTGTTCTGACTTGAAACGTGCTTATATGGGTTTCTTGATTCAAGTTTTAGACTTATTGACTTGAATCAATTTGCATTGACTTTAGGTCAAAGACCTATTTCATGCATGCAAAAATAAATTTAAATAAAAACGCTCAATTCTAAGAGATATGCAGAGATCTAGTGACGAGGAGACTCAAATATTAAAACGATGATCAAAATAAATAAGAAGACATAAGACAAGCAACAAAACTCTATGAGGCATTTTAGATGAATCTAACTATTATAATAACACACATCCTTAAAGCTAATTATTTTCCTGATTCTTTTTTTTTCTTTTCAAAATAAGTATTAGGCATTACTCAACTTATGTATGGTGAAGCTTTTGGAGCTCATAATTTGTTGTTAAAGGAGGGTACAAATGAAGTATTAGGTCAGGAGAGACCATCCTAGTCTAGAACCACGAAAGGCACCATGAAGTCATGTCATTGACCAACCTTTCACATTCGAACCCCGATAATGATCAATATGAAGATAACTATTAAAGATGACTCACCAATTCATTATCCAAAGATAGTAGAAACCTAAAAGGATATTGTATTATTTCAATCATCAATTACAAGGATAGTTGTTGTACAATATATAGAGATAGAAGCCCAAAAGAAAGGCCCAACATAAATAACGACTATAAGGCCCAAATAGAAAAGATGGCTCAATTACATTTTAACACACCCCTTCAAATTGGAGTGAATATTGGTCAATCCAAGTTTGCCCAACATACTATGAAAAAGGGCTACTATGCAGAGATTTAGTAAGAATGTATACAATCTATTTATGTATGGTAATTGGCATAAGATGGATGATGTTTTGCTTGATTTTGTCATGCACAAGATGGCAGGCCATCTCGATGTGCTTTATGCATTCGTGAAAGAACGGGTTATTGGAAATATGAATCGCACTTCGGTTGTCACAATTAGTAGAGATGGGTTGCTGGTGCAAGATTCTGAAATCTC